GTAGAGCCACACAAGCCGAAACTGACCAACGCCAGGGGAGGGAAATCCGCCCCAGAGTGGCTTGCTGACGTTGGTGGGAAAGTCGGTCCCATATTCCAGAGCTGCAGTAGTCACAAGACTGGCCCTTTGGTCATTCCGGAACAGTTCCTCCAGTCCATGGCAGGCCAGTGCATCTGGGTGGAGGAGCAGCTGCTCCGGGATGACCAAAGGGCCAGTCCCGTGACTCCTGCAGCTCTGGAATATGGGACCAACTTTCCCACCAACGTGAGCAAGCCACCGTCAGTCAAAATTCATATTAGTGGTCTGCGGGATTTAAAATTATGAGTTTGATGGTCCCTGAGGTCCAAAAGGTTGGCGACCCCTGTTCTAGTTGGCAGGAGCCATAACAGGGGAGGCCTGCTTTCTGGAACCCATTAGGTGGGATTTTAATGAATGAGACCTGGGGCATGCTGACTCTGTCAGATTGTATGGTGGCCCTCAAACAAACAGGTGCAAGAAATGCAGAAAACATGAGAAAAAATGTAAAGGGCCCTATTTCTGAATAAACAGCTAAGATACTGACCTGAATATTTACATATTAACTGATTTATCCACAATCTTTTGGAGAGCAACTATCCCTTGAAGGCAAATCTAAAACTCAAAAATAAAAATTGAAAATAGTATCATACATAGTTAAAACTGAACCATAAACTAAACACTGATTCAAGAAATCATGATCAACTAATATAAAAGAGGGAGATATTAATATATTTTATATTGTTTCTTCAACATGTTCATTTCTTAGGCAAAGAGTTTTATAGGTGTAGGACCACTAACATGAAGTTCTTATGCTATGACATGCCAAATAACATGGTTCTAAAATATTTTACAGATAGGCGAGACAGCAGGGCACCAAAACAGAACAGTCATGTTTTATTCCACAGAAATGTTGAGCCTTGTTTTTTTAAACAATACACAGTTTGAAAACCAGGATAAAAAAGTAACATGTTGCAATTAGAGTCAAAAGAAAAAAGCCTATGCACTCTCCAAATCAACATTTCCTTTTCAAATGTATTTCAGGTCCTGGTACAGCATTGTGTTCATCTTTTTTTACAGTGTTTCTGTAAAGATAATACTTATAAACACTTTTAAATATTCCAGACAGTTATGAACAGTATTGTATAGGAAAGAAAAGGTGTTGAGAGGAAAACATCAGCTCAATAGTACATCACATCCAGACACCTCCAGTTAAAAAAAGGCTGCAATTGCAGACAACATGAAAATCCTCTGCTTGGTTAACTAAATTAGTCTTACTTAATTTATTTATTAATTAAATATTTAAATAGTCTATTCTCAGTGATTATGGGCAGTTCACTGATAAAAATATACAATAAATATACAATAAAATACAAATAAAAAACAGCCAAGAAACCCCATCATTCAGAAGAAGGCCTGCTGAATTCAATCACCCTCAACAACACCAAGTGAAGCAGTTTCATTTGACAGCTTTCCATGTGCCATGGATATCCACAATTCAATCCTATGGTTAAGATCTGACTCTATAGCTTTCATTCTGGGCATGCTTTTTCCAGAAAAAAATGCCAGATATTCCGTGGAGTGTGCTTCCAAGTAAATAAGGAAGTAAATAAACAAGCAAACAAACAAATAAATAAGCAAATCTGAGATTACTATTCCTGTATAACTATATACATAAACGTGCTCCCCACAGAACACATTTTTACTGGCAATTGCATGCTGTGTATCCTGTTGCTGATTCACATATAAAAATGGTTAATACTGTACACAGCAGACCGAAGACATCATTCTAATTATAGCAGGTTAAAACTAGCTCAGCCAGGATGAATGAAATTCCATACATATTTACTTTATATACCATTTTTCATTCAGGAATTTTAAGTCAGTGTATGTAGCACTTGAACAGCCTGTAAACTTACATGGCTGAGAGTGGATTTAGAAACTGAGACTTCCAGCTCTTAATCCAGAATCTTAATCATCTCACCACACTATATCTTATGTGTATCATATTCAATACACAATTTTTCTTTGCATTGTAGATCAGAAAATGTGCCTATGTGAAAAATAGGGATATGCAGCACTTTAGATACAAAGCATAAAAAGGGCTTTGAAGGCATGAGGACATGCATATCACACCTGTCACATAGTAGCCCATACTATATCTGGGATTAAGGAAGCACCAGCAAACTGCAGCAAGATACTTCAGAGTGGACATAGGATATCAGCACCTCCTTATCCTACACAGTACATATTTTTCTGAGATTCCATTGATACCATGTGTGACTAGGAAAAGAGGTAGGTTTTTTAATAAGATGCCAACAGATATGTTGTATACTGTCTACCTCTTCAAAGCACATTTTCTGCTTGGGCTGTAGCACAGCACATCACTAGTGAAGAAAAAAAGAACCATAATAAAAGAAATATGCAATGCAGGTACATAACCTGACTGACAAGCAGTATAATTATAAAGTAGGAATTATGTTGTTTTTTCATTATTTACCTTAAAATTTAAGAAAATCCTGCCAAACCTCTAGGACAATAATTCCATTCCCATATTTAATTATACAATCAGAATTTGTATATAAACAAATTAAATTCCATATCAATTGAGAACCTCTCCCCAGAGCAATGCTATTCTAATGACTGGCAGTTTGTTAAAACTGGATGAATTAAAAAGTAGTTGCATGATCTGTAGCTTAATCTATTGTGTAAAGCAAATCAGTGAGGTTAATATATACTATATGTGAAGTGCAATCAGATTTAGTAAATTATAGCTAAATTAACTGTAGATTAGCATTACTACACAAAACTCATACAAGTGGCTGCTAGGTTCACACAACACTAGATTGCTATTCATGATTTACAAATCACAGTGGCAGTTCCATGCAGAACAAAACGACAGCATGACAATGTTTACATATATCTAGCCTAATATATTTGTTAATGCATTTAAACCAAAATAGTTCTTTAAAATAGTTTTATCACTTCTTTATTCCTGATAAGGCACTTGTATGTAACACAACAGCATAAGTCCACACATGCAAAACGTTTTTGTAGATTCATTAGGTCACAAATTTAATGAACAATAGTCCCTGTTTTATGTAAAATGTGACAGATGACAATGACTGCTCCATCCAAGAATTGCACCAACTACTAAACTCAGTTAGTAGGATTAGAGTTTCAGGCATGTATTGCAGTAATCATTCATAACAGACATATGATGAAATTCTAATCTTCATTCCCCAAAACCAAACTACTATCCCTCCCTTCTCCAAATTTAACAGAGGAATGAAGCACAGGTACTTTCCTCTGGTTAAGGACAGATGTTACTGCGGTCAATTTTCAATAGATATAGATGTCAGTTCCTGATTCTTTTCATCAGTTTACTCAAACTTCTGCAATACCCTAGCTAGGGGTTTGACTAATAGTCTCTCGATGTCTGCAGGTGCCATCTGCTAATAATATGAAACTCTTTTGGTGCATTCAGTTGCAGAAGCTTCCATCAAGAGGAGCAGCCTATTTCTCTTTCTATGCCAGAAAATATTTAATATATATTAAGGAAGATGCATTTTTTTTTCACGAAAATATAGGGCTCTAATGTCCTAACCTAATGTGTTCAAAGCAGACCTTCATTCAGTACTGTATTCATTTTTTCCTACTGCAATTTTAACATTTATTTATTTATTTTTGCCTCTTATTTTTTTGCCTGTTTGGCTAGTTTGCACAGCGATGAAATCACATCTTGCTGGCTCAAAAGAAAACTACTCAAACATTTTTTCCCTTACATTAGCATCTACCACTGGAAAACAGGGTGTTTTAATACCCTGAATTTAGGCAGCCTCTATTCATGGTGTGGTTTCATGTGGCATATAATATTTCTGTTTGCAAAGTTTCCTTTAGATGACTTTGTAACAGAAGATCAAAGAGAAAAGTCTTTAAAATCTAAATAATGTAAATCATACGGCATTCGGAGGCTAGGCAAATTACACCCCCCCAAGAAACTGCCCTCTGCATGAAAGGAGTCTTTCTCCAAGACTGCCCAGCCCAACCCAAGGGAGCCTAATTTGAGAGTTTCTAAACATTTCAGGTACACTTGAAACCTTTTTTTTTTTCTTCTTCTCTTTCTTCTTTGGAAGTGATTCACAATTCCTATGCATATCAGCTTGTTTCCAACATGTTGAAAAAACAGAGCTCATCCTCCATTAACTTGCTCAGTGCCAAACTTTATGGAGGGGACAAAATGGGTGATTAGATCAGACCCATCCTAAAACTCCCATCCTGTCAAAAATCTCCGACTCAGGGAAGGGGCAGAAAGAAAGAGATCTCATTTATCTATTTATCTCATTTATTCATCTATTGAAAAAAGGGGGCTTCTTCCTTTTTTGGGGGGGGGGCTTTTTAAGCCACCCTTGTGTTTCAGTTTAGGAGGCTGACAAGGGTCCCCGGAGTGACACAAACACCCCGTTGAAGCCGGACTTGCCAAGCTCCCATTCATTTTTAAAGGGTCAAACTTTGAAAAGCTCCTTCTGGGGAAGGGAGCGAGGCTTTTTATTTTTTTGTAGCCCTCCCAGGTTGCGCGTTTCAAGGGAGAGCTTGGAACAGAAGAGCCCGGCCGGGGCTTGACCCAGCCTGGCGGGGGGAGAGAGAGAGAGGGGTGTGTGTGTGTGTGTGTTGTGTGTGTGTGAGAGTGTTTGTGTTGTTTTCTCGCAGGCTTGCAAAACCCCAAGCCGCGCGTTTAAAAAATCCCCCAGAAGCTCCAGCAAAAACAGCCCAACCCCTGTGAGGGTAAAAAAGCAGAAAGGGAAGGAAAAAATCTTTCCCGGCTCGGCGGCTCCTCCTTCTCCCCCCAGCCCGGCTTGCTCCGACTCTTTTGTGTGCGTGTGTGTATGTGGGTGTGCAGCACAAAACACCAAGGCAGGGGGGAAAACAAAAAAACACACACACACACACACAAGAAAAGCAAGCAACCATCATCGGCTTCTCACCGTTTTGCTCTTTGGCGCTCGACCCCTGGAACTTGCCGAAGGAGCTCAGGTTGGATTCGGCGCGGGCTGCCGGCCTTTGGCTGACCAGGCTGAGCGTCAGCGAGAAGATCCCGAGGAGGAACATTTGGCAGGCTGCGGGTGGGAAGCCTCCCTTCACACGCACACGGACCCCGCGCCCCAAAGTCTCCTCTTGCAAGGCGGCTCTCGAGGAACTTCTCCCCCCCCCCCCGCCCCCCCCCGCCTCACCACCACCTCCGCCAGCCCGCCAGGACTGCGCCGCTGGGGAGAGGCCGGCAGCTGCCGCAGGAGCAGCAGCGAGCCTGCTCGGGCAGCGAAGAAGAAGGCGAAGAGGAGCGGGGTAGTTTCCACATAATCCCGTCCGAAACTTTTTTTTTTTCCCCCTTTCGGCTTACACGGTCTCTTCTTTCCCTCAGTCTCGAGGGTTTTTTTTTTTTTCTTCTCTCCCTCCTCCTCCTCCTCCTCCTCCTCCGGTTCAAAGCATGACCGGCTTTCCCAAGGGCGCCACAATCCTCTCAGGGAAGCGGGCGGGCGGGCGGGGTGGGGCGGCGAGAGAGCTCGCGGCGGCGGCGGCGGGCTGGAAGGCGCACCTGTCAGCGTCGGAGACCACGAAACGGGGTGTGTGTGGGGGGGAGAAAAAAAAAAGCGGAGCCGGCCCTCTCCGCCCTCTCGCCCGCCCCCGAAGGGAGGAAAAACCGCCACCTTCTTTCCCCCCGTCGGGGTTGAGGTTGCTGTTTTTTTTTTTTTTTTCTTGCGCTCTCCTCGGTTCCTCCGGCGGCCGCTGCCAACTGTGGAAAAGCCCGCGGTTTGGTTTTGGACTTCCCGCTTTCACGTGTGTCTTTCGGCCGCTCCACACGGCTTGGCGAGGACGGAAGAAGGAAGAAGGCAAAAGGAAAGCCGCAAGCTTGAGATCGCAAGGCAGGCAGGCGGGCGGGCGGGCCGGCCGGCCGGGGAAAGGGTGGAAAATGGGAGGGCGAAAGGGGGCTGAGGGGAGAAGAAAACGCCAAGCTTGTCCTTCGCCTCTCCCGAGGAGTCTCCCGAGCGTCACCTCAGAGGAGCTACCTGGGTGTCGGTTTTATGGCGAGGAGGGTGAGGAAAAACAATAACTGAGGGACACCCGGGAGAGTCCCTTGTATGTACCTCGGTGCTTATCCCCTAAACGTGTTTTCTGCTCCACCCCGAATTCGCCTCCCTTCAACTCTTCACAACTACGACCTTACTACAGCCCTAAAACCTATTCTCGCTTCCCCCTCAACCATTTCAGCCCTCAGTCCAACCAAGTTCTTCCCTCAGAGTCGACATAACTCCCCTCCTCTCGCTGCGCCCTGAGTCGGGCGAGGCTCTCCCGCCTTTTTTTTTTTCCCCCCCTTCTTCTTCTTCTCCTTCAGGCGACAACAGGAGGTCGCCGACGCCTCTCCTCAGTCGACCGGTGCGGGAAAGCCTTTGGGGCGGCCAGGTCCGGGGCGCCTGGTTTGCGGTGCTGGATGTCGCTTTGCTCCTCCTAGGAGGAGGCGGCGGCGGCACCGCGGGCGACGGAGAGAAGTCGTTCAAAGTTCAAGCTGGCTACTGGGCGCCTTGTTCGCGCTTTCTTTCTTTTTTTTCCCCCTTCCTTTCCTTGAGTACTTTTGCCTGCCAACCCGGCCCCCCCCGTTATAAATGGCGCTGTGAAAGGAGAAAGTCTTCCGCCCGAGCATGGCGTTTTCCACGGTTTTGGCCGTGCTGGAGTACGTTTTAAGTCAGAGCACAAAGCGGACTCTGAGCTTTAATTCAGACGTTGTGGTTCCCCGTGGAATTTGCTTCACTGTGATGAAAGAAACCACAGATCGCATAATGTTCTAAGGCCCAGGGGGTCTCCAACCTTGGCAACTTTAAGACTTGTGGACTTCAACTCCCAGAATTCCTCAGCCAGCAAAGCTGGCTGAGGAAGTCTGGGAGTTGAAGTCCACAAGTCTTAAAGTTGGC